GGCTTCTCTTGATGCGATCCTGGTTAGGGATTGTGATTTGGAAGGCAAAGTAGCCTTGGCTATATTAAAGCTTGTCATCTTTATTTAATCGTGTTTAGCACAGCTCATAAAGTACAATGAAAATGCTAAATTAAAAGGGAAATGAATTTACTAAATAAAATACTAACATCACTCACCCCGACTTACGGGTCAGCAATAAAGCATTTAGCTGACAAAAATGTCAGAACGTTATCATATTACATCTCGAGTAGGCAGGATAAATAGAGTATAATATAGCACATACCACATGAACTCGTATTGAAGTCAGAATGACGTTTTCCTGTCATGCTAGCCACCCACGGGCCATATGGTTGCAACTCAAGCTTCAAAATATTCCGATTCATAACGGTCTTTCCGTGAGCATGACATCACCGTCTTCACTGTGGCTTCTAATGCATCCGCTGCCGAATCCGCTGTGGTTTTTGGGCCTCTGATAGAGGCTAGAGCTGCACCGAAAATGGACCTTCTTAACTTCCGTCAGAGCACACCGGAAACTAACGACTTCCGGTGAATGGGGAGGGGGAGGAGGAGGAGGAAGAAGATTAGGCCGGGGTAGGTATAGAGAAGTCGGAGAAAGAAGAAACATATTTTGTTATTTATTTCTCCGGCGTGACTCATATGGCGTCAAACCTTGCACGCCAGAGCTCATCTTGCAGTAAACAATGGCCAAGATGCCATACAACTACCAAGTAAGGCCGAAGACCGCCATGTGAATAGTGAGGCCCAGCACATAAAATCACCAGACTGACGTTACAGTGACCACGTGGGGAGTCTGGCCGTGTCCGAGCCGCACCGCACACCTGTGCTGGTCTATTTGGAGTCGAACGACAGTGTTAGGGCGGGGCTGGTGTCAGTCACTGATGGATTTCCATCACTCGAGAGGTATGTTCCTGTGGAAGGCACATGCTCAACGCGGGGAACTATCGTGTTCATCTCGGTGATCAACAATCACGGGACACTGCAGACAATGCGTCAGCGTCGCCTGCGTTCTGCTAACTGCTGTAAACCGCGCGAGGACGTCTTTTGCTACTGAGAAATGTTGTCAACCAGACGCTGGGGCAGGCCTCTGTGAGGACGTTTATACTGACACTGATATATTTCAGTGGCTGTTACAATGCAGGGTTTGTGCTAGGCGACCTTCATCTGAGACTGGTTTTGTCAAATTTAACATTTCATTATTTATAAATAAAAATCATAAAACACTACAGAGCGAAGGACAATCGGTCTATGTTTTACTCGTAACTTACCCTTTTCCTCTGCACACACTCACACTGCAGTGCCACGCCCCTTCCCAGAACTGTTGTGGCGTGGCGTGTAAGGGGCCGTGTGATGCTGCTCGCACGCTCGGTGCCCTGAAGACCCCACCATGACACCTCACTGTGACGTTCCGACTGCCCCGGGTCAAAGTGTCTAAGCCAAATTTATCAGCGCAGAGCCAGGTGGTAATAGTGCCATCCTCATTCGATGAGATGCACGATACACCGCCCGAGATCGCTACTAAGGCGACAAACGGCGCAAAATCAACCACTGAAGGCCTCAACTGCCTCGGGTCTGTGTTACAATCGTTACTTTCGTGCAACTCGACAATTAACCAAGCGTAATTGCAGAGTGTGTGTTTCCCATGTTGAAATGGTTACTTCAGCGAGCGAAGCCGCTAGCTGTGACTTGCAGGGTGCAGTTAGCTCATAGTTCACGTAGTACCACACTCGTCTTGTGACATGTCTGGTATCAGGTCACGGTCATGGACTGCACTGCGGATTCGGTCAGCAGTGCCCGGCTAGGATCCAGGTAGAAATACCATTCCAAGGAGCGATTGTTCGGCTCGTTTCACGGCCGTTGCTTCGGGCGTGGTTCGGATGTCCGGTGACTAGCCTACTTCAATCTGACCATTGTTTGGTAGGTCAAACGTGGGTGGCATTGGCCAGGTTCACCATAATGAGATTCCTGGATACCTGAATATGACCTTTTATCGTCGAAATTAGCTGATGTGTATTGTGTTTGCCTGAACGGTAGATAGATGACATAAATGGACGGACTATGAATTAACCGGCCATAAATGAATTTTGAAAGATAACATGACGGTGAATTTAACCCTCGCCCGCACATGGGGGGGGGGGGGGTGGTTGCCACCCCCCCCCCCCAGGTAGTGTTTCTGCTCTGCACTCAACATTTTAGAGCTAGAGGGCTGATTTTTCGTATAGCTGCTCCTCTATCCTTTCTTGATGTCTACTGAAAATTTCAAGTTTCTGTGATTTTTGGTTTTGGAGATATGACCTTGTTTCTCAGGTCATGTCATGACCCAAATGGCCAATTCTCAACATCTTGCGTTTGCCATGGGCCTTGTGAGCTTTTGACACCCTGATTTCGGCCTTTTTTGCCAGTCTTACCTCCCACCTATCATGGAACATGTTGTTCGACGATGTACAGGGGTCAAGGTCAGGGTCAAGGTCACCCTAGGTCATCTAAGATAATTGCGTTTTAGGCAAGCCGAATTTACTTTTTGTGAAGTTTTTTGACTGCATTTTTGGTAAAAGCTTCTCAGATCATGATTTCATGTAATATGGACCCAAAAACAATCGGTGCACACATCAGTATACACACAGACACACACAGACATACAAACACATATAATTGACCTTGACCTAACTTGACCTGAAATGACCTCAGCAGCAAAATTCTGGTCGGGTAGTGTGACAAAGAAGTTCTAGCTGGCTTGGCACCAGAAAACAGCATCGTCATCGGTATTTGATAAGCAGCGCACTTGATATCCAACGGTGACCCAAAACAGCAACATTTTTTAGTTTGACCTGACCTGGAAGGTCAATGACTGACCTGAGGAGGTAAAACTGGGTATCATTGGATTCGTCTCTTCCCAAAGAATCTTTTTGGTCTTTACCGCTAAGCTCTATCTCCAACAGGAACGAAATGGCGCGGGGGGGTGGCAACCACCCCCCCCCCATGTGCGTTCTAGGATGGGAAAATGGCATGTGCGGGCGAGGGTTAAGAAACTATGATATCCACAACTGACGAGACAGCGGTTTCCTTATTCCAGTATTCTAATTTGGTATCGTCTACTCAGCATATGGCATACTTATGGTGCCCTACAACAGAAAAATATTAACACCGTTAGCGGTGTAATTGCACAGTACATATCTGAGCACTTGAGGAAAGTTAATTTAGTCCCTTCCCCGCTTAAATTACTCGCGCTTCTAAATGAACACCAGGAAGAAGGTAATAGAACACTGTTAGGAGGGTTGGGTGTTTTGCTACATGTAGTAAAACACCCAACCCTCCTAACAGTGTTCTATTACCTTCTTCCTGGTGTTCATTTAGAAGCGCGAGTAATTTAAGCGGGGAAGGGACTAAATTAACTTTCCTCAAGTGCTCAGATATGTACTGTGCAATTACACCGCTAACGGTGTCAATATTTTTCTGTGTGTAAGGAATCACAATAAGTTAGGTGTCTGAATTGATCTGTATGGACATTTGTCCCATGTATATTGACTATCTCCCACCCCCACCGAGTCACGTGAAGGCGCAGGTGCCCACCCCACTTCCCATCCCCTTCCCCACCCACTGAGTCACCATCTACCACGCCCCATTTCAGGTCAATAGTGGTCCCGTCCCCTGTGCAGGTCAATAACGTCCCGCCTCCTGCCGCTGAGAGCGCTTCAGTCACTGTCTGGTAAATGGAATAGCGGTTCATGGGAGGACTTGTATATGCCTGTCATTGACGACACCAGAAACAGAGGGCTTAGAGGAATATAAATTATAAAACACCGGAGACAAGAGGAAGTTATCGAAACGCAGTGCAAACATATCGAAGACGATGCGAGAGCTCGACTCACGCATATGCATCAGAGCTAATTCTAGCATAGCTTCCAAGCAAAAATAGTCAGGATCACTCCTGTGTCTGAGTTATACCGCATTGATTCGTTCAGTACCGCTGTCTTTTACCGTCAGAAGCCACCTTATCCGCCCTCTCTGCGTCTCGCTCCAAGGTCTGCCGTAATTACTGTGTATACATACAGCCGGCATACGTCACTGGAGCCTACTACCGGCACCGTATATAGCCGAGTCAGAGTCAGTCCTGATTTATAGTCGATAATTGGTGGACGGCGGCCGGGACCACCCAGCTCCCTCTCCCGGCTCATACTGATGAGGTATACCGGGCTTGCGCCGGGTCACACCCGATGGACGGGACGTTTACGTATGCGCACTGCGTGCAACGCCCGGTGCCGGCAATATGTGCCTGTCAGGGAGACACCGCTCGATAACGGCTATTTGTAAATGTGTCGTGTATCGCTGGCAAGTAAAACAAATGGAGGTATTCATCATGTTATCAATTTCAGTTGCCAAACTCCATATTGAGTATCGATGTTACTTTGCATGCCATTCCTATGGTAGCATGATTATTGTACATTAGCACGCAGAAATTATGTTCCCGATCGTGAATGCAGCTTGTGTGCTTCAATACACAGAACAATCACCTAAATGGATAATTAATTCAGACAAGGCAACCAAAATTTGCTGAACATAACGAAAATCTCATTTGCACCTCAACGAGGGTCTAGTCAGTCCCAAAAGGCAGCAATTCAGATCGACCACGTTTAACGGGAATTGCAATGCTTTATCACGACTCACGAGAAAAAAAAAACATGAAAAGGTTTCGCCTTCTCACAAGCTTATTAAAAAATCGGGGTACTGTAAGTAAGATCCTGAACTGAGCAGCCATCGCTAACTTCCTCGATGATTGTCGGGGGCGTGTTGATAACATGGTGAGTCACCACAGACCTGCAAAGTTCTCCGTTAGGGACTGTGTCTGCAACCTCTACTCACTGGTGAATGGTGATCATAGCCCATGACTGTCCATGTTTCGATGAATTTAGGGTACACTTCACGGAAGCATGACACCGCATCACAAATACGATCTCCATTCAAGATAAAATCCATAACGTTTGTCACATTTGGTAGTCGTGTATTCTCGTGAGTCAGTACAAAAACGCACCGCAGTTCAGTACAACATAAAGCGTGTTACACCAATGTCAGCGTACCCATCCGGCCCGCTACCGGGCAGTATCTAGTCCCCAGTTTGCTGCCTTTCGATTCCGATTCACAGTATTCACATTGTGAATCGGACTTACTGTGGCAGCATGCATGAATGCAACATCAGGGAAGCCTCCATTTCCCGAGTTTAAGTCACTGAATCGCAGCATTTGATGCATGCACTCAAGCAACATGCCTGAACGCATCCCTCTTAGCAGCGGCTGTCCGTTTGATGTTTTGCTTAGCCGGCCAGTAAAATCACACCAGGCATTGGGACTTTTCACGCCAGCCAGCATCTCTGAGCCGGCATAAGTGGCGCTATTGTCAATCTCCACCAAGTCACCGACGTGACTGCATCGCTGCTTAGTTCATACAGATGTCGCCACAGGCGCAACTCGAGCCCGTAGCGTGGCAGTTTCTTTTCAGCACAGTTTATCCCAGAAGACTTTCATAGTCTTCGTCATCGTCTGAGTCCATGGCGGCACGCCTCCGGTCAAACTATAGGGATCGAACAGAACTTGGTCAATGCCTGCAACCGCTAGGAATGTGCTGAAACTGATAAAAAAATGAATATTTTGGGTACGGGAAGTCCGATGTATCAAAAAACCAACAGAACACCGTTCCGTGCTTCCATCCTAAGGATACTGAAATAATTCTCCTCCACGCCGCAACCCCCTCCGGACTGGAAGGCAACTTTATCTCATGCGGACTGCTCCCTTGGAGCGGCACCGCTGCTCCAGAGGGAGCGCACCCCGTAGCCGGGTGCAGTGAGTACCTTGCACTGGCGGATCCAGCTCCGAGTTTTGGGAGGGGCAAACCATAACAATGTCGTGGTTCTCTCCATGCACCGTATATAGGTGTAATGTTAAAATTATGCCGTTTGGGAGGGGCAATTGCCCTATTTGCTCTCCCCTAGATCCGCCACTGGTACCTTGGGGCTGGTCGGCCTGTCTTTCGGGACGGGCTCAGCCCCGGTGACTCACTAGGGTGCCTGCCCAGACCAATGTCTCCCCCTAATTCCTATCATCCTTCCGGCCCTGAAATGGTCTCGTCAGACCGAAGGGGCCTAGCCCAACAAAACAAACAAACAAACAAACAAACAAACAAACAAACAAACAAACAAACAAACAAACAAACAAACAAAAACCAACAGAAGCCTAAATATTAAAGACATCTACCCCATGTAAATTGGTTATTGCTGACTCCATCTTCAAATTTACGATTTGAATGACAATCGGTTAGTTTCAAAATATTCAAGGCGGAAACTCAACGAACTTCGTCCAGAACAATTATTCCACCTGTGTCAAATTCACCAACTCATGCACGACCTCTCCATCGGAGCTCCAGTCTCCAACCCACCAAGCCACCCTACCCCACCCCCACCCATTCACCGGTGACCTCACCTTGACCTTTGCCGTGGCCCTGTTTCCGGTCGAGTCGCTGACCCTCTCCAGCAGTCCGACGAGCTCTGGCTCGGTGAGACGCTGCTGGATCTGGCCCGAACGCGCCATGTTTACCAGCATACCCTCCAGCTGGGCGCCCTTCTCCGGCTTGGCCAGCAGGATCGTGTTCACTGAGGTCACAGGGAGGGGATCACATGTAAGATTAGTCAGAAGGGTTGATCGGTCCGTGGAGTACGGATCGGCCAACAGCCACAGGGACTAGTCTGTGGTAAAGTAAACCAAACCAGATGAACCTTACAAAACCGGTTAAATAGTGCTTGGCGGCAGATGGATGAGCTACATAATGTCAGTACAGAGAACAGCATTTATAGTAGCCTTCAAAAATCAATCCCTATTTGAATGGCGTTGCCATCAATGCTGCTGGAAGTTGAGATGCTGATCAATACTCACGCCTGGCTCGTGCCTTCTGGTCCAACAGGCTGGAGAGCATGCTGTTCTTCATCTCTTCCTGCTTGGCCATGGCTTCCTTCTGCTTCTCTGCATTCTGCGCTGCATTTCCCCCTCCAGCCCCCTGCTGAAAGAACAATGATTAGAAAAAAATGCTAAAACTACGCCAAACAACAGGAAAGGCATTCCACCATCTATTCAAGAGATATGTATGCTATGAAAAGTGTAATGCATTGTTGCAAAAAAACTTTTACTCCAGACACTTACCAGCATGCTTGGATCAATCTCCATCTTGAACTGAGATGGTCACTCTTTGTAAGTTGATTCTTTTGCCAGCCTGAAATAGAAAGAAATTAGTTACCAGCTTTATGGGAGTCCAAGTCCACTTGCTAGGTAAGACATCACACATAGCCTAACAATAGAAAACATCACCATCAGTGCATGATAACCTGCTGGGTGCTGAGCATGAGCTGCCTCATCAGCAAGTGAAATGAGCAATTTTATCAAAACAAGAAGCAGCCCAGAGATATCAGTGGAAACCATGAAAATGACACAAACTTGAGACTTGAGACACAATGTGTTTTTTTTTTCAGAAAAGGTCCCATCTACAATTGCGATACGAATATGCAACAGCATAAATTGTAGGACGTAGGTTGTAGGTCCTTTGACACCAGTCGTCACAGAGCGCTGCCTCCGGCGCCAGCGCCTTTACCTCTATTGATAGCGGTCTGCCCGGTGGCGGGCAGCGGCTGTGAGGCTGCGGGCGGCACCCAGCGCAATTGTACGGACTGGAGAGGCGCGAGGCGCCCGAGTACTTGAGGCGCATCATGTAAGAATATGCAACATTTGGTTTTAAAGTGAACTGGACTTTAACATTTACCCAAAGCTTGTACAGCCAGTTAGGCAGCCACACCTTTTGATAAGCCCAACACAATCCCAGGAACAGCATGACAACACCAGAAGAATAGCACAATTCCAACTTTATGTATAACTGAGAAATGGTCAATGAACCCCACAATGACACATGCACACAATCAGGCACATAGCCAGGATTTTGCTCAGGGGGGAGGGGGGACACAGGTCACAGCCTAGTGTCACACCCCTTCCAAAAAAGGAAAGCTCCTCGGATTTGGCCCACTATTTTGTGGGGTGTGGTACTGGTGCAGCTGTGGTTATTTTTTTTTATTGAATTTGATTTCATTTTATGCCTTCAAGGGGCATGGCCCCCGTGCCCCCCCCCCCCCGTTGGCAACATCCCTGTACACTTACTTACTTACTTACTTACTTACTTACGAAGTACAGAATTTGGATAGGCCAGACTAGGCCTTTAGAAACCTTTCTAGTCGAGCTCCTCGTGCGTCTGACTATTCATCTGCGTGAGGGATGTCGTGTGCATGGTGTGCCCAGTGAGCGTCAAGCCGGTTTTTGAATTGGTTCAGGGTGTCGGATGCGACGACCACTGACGGTAGGCTGTTCCAGTCGTTGATGACCCGGATGGAGAACGCGTTGCGCCGAATCCTGGAGACCGCTCGCGGCTTGGCTAGTCTCCATTGGTGTCCTCTTGTAGCAGGAGTTCTGTCGGCTGCCATCTCGAAGAAGTTGCGAGGGTCCATGTCCAGTCCACCGCGGAGCAGCTGATAAACCGCGATCATATCTCCACGCCTCCGTCTGTAGTACAGCGTTGGTAGCTGCAGCACTTTCAGACGCTCTCGATACGGGAGGTGTCGAAGATCGGGAACCAGCTTGGTCGCCCGCCTCTGCACCCGCTCTACCAGCCGCTGGTCCGCCCGGTTGAAGGGACCCCACACTAGGTTCCCGTACTCAAGGTGGGGTCGGACAAGGGCCTTGAGGAGCAGGGGGAGGGTTGATTTGTCAAGAAGGTGGAAGGACCGACGAATCACTGCCATCACTTGTGTTGCCTTCCTTACGGCCGCAGCAGCCTGCTTCCGGAATTTGAGCTGGGTATCCATGAGGACGCCAAGGTCTCTCTCGACATCCGACTCCGCGACTGTAGTTCCCCCCATCCGGTATGTGTGGTGCTGGTTGCCTCCGCCGATGTGGAGCACCTTGCACTTTCCAGGGTTGAATGCCAGCTGCCACCTGTCTGCCCAGTGAAGTGCCGCGTCCAGGTCCTCCTGCAGGGATGCCGAGTCGGACGGAGAGCAGATAGATCGATAGAGTTTGCTGTCGTCGGCGAATATCTTTATCCCACAGCTTAGCGGCTCCGGCAGGTCGTTCACGTACAGCGTGAAGAGCAGTGGAGCAAGGACTGAACCCTGTGGAACACCGCTTGGTACAGGAGCCCAGTCTGACTTGCTGCTCCCAACAGTGACTCGCTGCTTCCGTCCTTCCAAGAATGCGCCGATCCATCTCAGAATCTTGCCTCCGATGCCGTGAGCTTCAACTTGTACCGATGCCGTGTACACAATGACACTGGCAGCCTGGCTCGCCTCATTCATGAAGAAAAACACATTCGGTAGGTTAGGTATTCAAGCTTCATGTGAACAAACAATCTAAGCTCAATTCAGTTTACTTTATTAGGCCTGGGTAGACACTAGGAGATAGATAAGAAAACTCTTGAAACTTGAGCTTCAAATTAGTGGTTGATGCCAATGCTGATTTGGACTTGAAAAAAAACGTGAAATTGATAAAAAAGGTCCCCTCCCACACTTTGGTTTCTTAAGCCTAACACACTTCCATGGTGTTAAGTTATACATAAATTGTTAGCTGATACTATAATTGTTCAGCACAGGGCGTTGAAAATTACAGCCAAATAACTCCTCAAAAATAATACGGCACCTACCTCTTGCCTACCTCTCCCACCTCCCACCTTGCTACGCGCATTCACATCACACAAAAATTGGCTTTCGCCACAACTGTGACACTCGCGCTACAAATGACTTTTTGCTTCCATATGGCAGAAACACATTCCCTTCATTACAGGGAGAATTTATGCTTCTTAAATCCGCCCAAAGATGGCACTAGTAGTAAGCGCCTGTAATTATGCTGTGCCGCAATACTCTACATTCGCCAAGCGTTGAAGGTTGTTGACGCCGAGTATTTTGTCCTGTCGCGGACGAACCAAGAATGACGAGTCTGTTGCGAGTCCAGAATCACGGATCTGAATCAAAACTACAAATATGAAGCCTGGAGTCGGGTCAGGCTATATTTTTATTTCTCATGTCGCAAGTCAGGCAAATTCATGGCGAGCAAAGTCCACGCTTGTCACTTGCCAGTTATATAGAGCATAAAATATGAGGTGAAAACTACATGCCAAAGTCCGCCGAGCTAGACCAATGAGCGCTAATGTCGATTTAGTCAAATGTGGGAGCACCGGATTCTTTCGGACCACGGCTGTGTATGCGAAATGTGGGCCGGAGCCGGAGTTAGATCCGTCGGCCAGCACGCATCGCCCGTAGCTGCAAATTTTGCTTGAAGCCGGTGCCGAAGCTGCCAAAATGCGTAGCTCAAAGCGTGACAGGATAAGGCAGGTAGTCATCAGCAACTCTATTTAGATGGTAACTGCTGAATGTTTGTCACAAATGTCTGTTTGATGCCGATTTCCATCTAGCATTTCATGGACCGCTGACTTCTGTCGCTGCTATGTCTGCGGACTGCGACAGATCCGCAAAAATACATACGGTAGGGTGTGCCTGCTTGCAGTTAGTGTACGCTAAAAGATGTAAAAGGTTAGCATATTATAGTTTGACAGACAGCATTACTTTGATGTGTAATTATTTTTGTGGTTGATTGATTCTGAAGGGGAGAGAGAGAGAGAGAGAGAGAGAGAGAGAGAGAGAGAGAGAGAGAGAGAGAGAGAGAGAGAGAGAGAGGGAGAGAGGAGCGAGGGAGAGCGAGAGAAAGAGAGAGAGAGAGGGAGGGAGAGAGGGGAGAGGGAGAGAGGGAGAGAGAGAAAGAGAGACAGACAGACAGACAGACAGACAGACAGACAGACAGACAGACAGACAGACAGACAGACAGACAGACATATGGGCAGACAGACAGGCAGACAGACAGACAGGCAGACAGACAGACAGGCAGACAGAAAGACAACAGACAGACAGACAGGCAGGCAGACAGACAGGCAGACAGGCAGACAGACAGACAAACAGACAGACAGACAGACAGACAGACAGACAGACAGCAGATTAGAATAGAGGCTCATTAAGTTATAAAATCCGCGAAGAGGTTCATAGTGGAACCACATTGTTATGCCCTCTCGGTAACCTCAACAACAAAGTCAAAAAGATAACAGGTTCAACTAAGATAAAATGATGAATAATTATATACTCTTCGTACGACCAACGAAGATCGTCCCGATTCCCGATTGAAGGAGCACCTACGTTCCTCTCATTTAGTAAACGCTATCATCGACATTCGACACCCTCGGGATCATAACACTCAGCTCACCGATGAAATTCGATCGCCCTTTCGCTCCAGTCGGGGGTAGAGGAGCGGCGAGGGTCAGGGGCGGTGCGCGCCGGCCCAGTCGCTGGGGGGCGGTGTTGGACTCTCGGAGGGAGCTCAGTCGGCGTGCGGTGGTCGTCGCGTGAGGTCGACGACGTGATCTTTCTCGTGGTGGCATTGCGAGTGACCACGACTTGCGAAGTCATGTCTCAGTGTGTATGCGTGAGAAAGTGTGTGTTTTCGGCAGCTGTGTCCATCCCAGTGTAGCGCCGCATCTGGGAGCGATCAGACGCGGTGTTTCTTTCGGGGTTTCTCTCGGTGCTGGCGCGACTGCGGTGTCCTTGGTGAGGTGCCGGGACGTGGTCACCCTGCTGGCTGTGTTCTCCTCTCATATTACCATGGAAACCAGGCGACGATGGGGCCAGTGCAACGGGAGCTCGTGTCAAAGGACAGGGGAAGCGGCGGCGGCGGCGGCGGCGGCCGCCGCGGCTGACCCTGATAGTATCGAGTTGACCTGCGTGCCGCCACTACCCCAGGACCTGGAGCAACACATCAGGGAGTGTCAGTGCTCGTGTGATCACCTAGGCTTCGGAAACTTCAAGGTAGGAATGGGGATACACTGGCCAATGTAGGGGCGGGACAGTAATTGGGCGATATGGGTGATTTGTGTACTTGCCACAGAAAAGGCATTTAACTTGAATGGCGCTGGCCTATATAGGAGCGGGACAGTAACTTGAATTTGGCGATGGACGTGATTTGTGAACTCGATAAGAAACGTTAATCCATTAAACATTAGTTTATGGGCACAACATGGACAAGTGCAAGTGCCTGACTACTTCACTCGTGACGATTGGCAAAAGACTTTGCGAGCACATGCAAACGTAGTCAAAGATTTTCCCTTAATGTCGTATTCCAAGCCCTGAGCATCAAACGTTCCAGCTCAACCACTCTGGAAAAACAATAATTCGTGATGAGCAATTTAGAAGCTTGCGTGTAGTTGCGGTTAGTTTTTTTCTAATACGCCTAAATAGGCATGTGATTTGCGTCTAGCCGGTGGATGAATGTGTCAACTTCAAGTGACAACCACATTTTATCTTTGGTATTCTCAAATTTTAAAAAAGGGAGTCTCACGCTAAATAAGCACGCTTATCACGCTTGTGGTTGGATAACAGCATAAAAGCGGACATTCTAATGCATGTGACGTTAGCTTCACCTCAGTTATACTCGTACCATCAATGTTACTGGATTCAGTCGGATATTTTCAAAGAGAACAGTACGACAAAAACATTAGAAACTGCATCAAGAACAACCTTTTGCATCTTCCACTATTTTTCTGAGAACAATACTGACAAATTGATATCACCCAGGGGCGCGAGTTCGCATTCTAACTTGAATCTTAATAACGAAGCAAGGATTTCTAATTCTAATTAGCGGGCGCGACTCCGACTGAAATTACCATAGCCTTTAGCGCCGAGACGCAACGCTATTTTGAGGCGAATACGGTGAATATGAATGCAAGCCATAACATTCATTCAGCCATCGCACTCGAGCTTATCACCAATTGGCAAGCCGCTGCAAGAAGAGGCAGCAAACCAAGGTAATTAAAATGAAAAACCGAAATATAAATCCATGGCGTGGGCTTAAACTTGTAATTACCTATCCTTTTATTCCAGTCTGTAGCAATAAATTTCCTGCTGCGCGCCGGCAAAGCTGCCAGTAAAACTCGGGAACAACAATAAATTTCGGCCGGCGGTACCACGGTGTGACATGTGTCGGGAATTCCCAGCCACTCATTTTGCCCAGAAAAGCTGACGGCTGCTCAACGGACTGAAAAATAGAGTGACTTGTTCATGCCTCAGCTATACTGATGTCGTTTGATTCAATTTGTGGCTTAAAATTCAGCCTGCGGAAAAGCTGAATCGAGAAGCAAATGAAAAATGTTTGTTGCTGGTTCAGCAGATATCTAAAATTAGCTGTACTAGCTAAATGCACAAGGGTAAATTTGATGGCAGCATAATGGCATCCGTGACGTCTTTGACCCGCTGGTAACGTCGTGAATAGTGTCTTATCACGAGTGTCTTAGAAAATACATAAGCTATTAAAAAAAGTTATTATGTCGTACATGATAATCTTTGTCCCGCAGTTTTGTTAAATGTTGCAGGTCTAATGAATACCTCCACAGTACCCGACCGGTACTCAACAGGTTCAGCCTCTACTACTGAGGCATATGAAATTAAACGGAATGATGGAACCTTATAAGTTAAATTATTAAAAATGAGTGGATAAGCTGACAGAACCCTCTATAAGACAGCAAGCCAGCCAATGTTTCTTCGAAACTCAAAACATTAGGAAGTACACTATCACTATTGGCATTGGTACACACTACACAATGAATCGGTGAAACACATTACTTTTTAGCCACTATTTCACTTCTTATACCCACCTTAATTTATTCCATAAGGAAAAATTAATCAAAACTTTCATTGCACCCTTCCCACAGCCAAGATAAACGTATTGTGAAATCATCAATCTTTATTCGTGAAAAATATATTTTCGCGTCAAAAACTAATGGTTCAGTCTTACTGCGGGTAGGCGCCAGTTAGCGGCGATGGCGTACTTTTGACTCGATTTTGTGAATGAATAGAAATCTTTGAAGATCAGCAAGCCTGCAATGTCTCCGAAATTTGTTTCAAAATTACCAAATACCTACGATATGTTCTTGTTTGGTCCCTCGCTTGATCGGTGAAAAGAAACAAGCTTTGGTAACAACTACTATTAACTCAGTGCCTCATTCGTCTGGTTCTTTTTGCAGATGACATATGTAGCGATCATGAGAGGAAAAACTATTTAATTACCCTCATCAATACGGACTCTTAACGCTTTAAAATGTTACTATTTACGTCAAACACTGTTTGCTTACATCCATCAAGCCCTTGCTGCAAGCTCCGTGCGATGTCTACAGGAGAGTCTATAGAGTTTCGTTTCGACGGGATTTTCAATCTCACCATTTTCTCGTCAAGTCGACTCGATCTGTCGGATTGGCAGTTTTTATTCCGCGACTGTGTGTCGACTCAAAGAGAAATGATTTATGCTGAGAGCTCGCGAGACGCGCGTGATAAGACGGCCAAAATTTTGCACGAGTGCTCTCAGTCACATTGAACGATGTTCGGGAGCATTTATTGGATGTCGCTCTGATACAGCATGCTTCTCGCTTAAAATTTTCCATCGATACAGCGAGATTTAGATTTAGTAGGATTACAATATTGAGAAGTAAAAAACACTGATAAAAATTATGACTTATAAAATGGTATTTTAAGACGGAGACAACCCCGTACTTTATTAGAAATCTATCCTGTACATATTGTTTGCTTTCCATAGTTCAGCTAAGAACGATAACAAATCATATTTAGGCGGTTGCTTGTGTTTGTTTGAAAGAAAATGCAGTGAGCCTAGTGAAATACCTTCTAATTCCTGACATTGATAATGAGTCACTGCTTTAAAAACCATAAAGTTTTAACAAAAATGCCCTATACATTAATATGTGCCCCTATGCCATACACATGTAGCAAAGTACGAGTGCAGAGTAATTCTCTCATCCAAAACACCACTCATATTCAATTCTGCATTTCCAATCACTTCCTCCTCGTGCAAACCAGGCAGCGCGGTGGGGCGCTGGGCTGGGCCACTCCCAGATCAATAGGAATACTCCCTCCTGCATACTGTATATAAGCGGAGCGGCTTCAGGGCCGCGGCCGCCACCGGTGCCTTCGAGGAGATGTAAAAACCCAACTGCCAGCATAGATCGCGACCTAAATCCGGGGGCGGGCCGGCCTGCCGTCGTAAGTCGCCGCGCGCGAGTGCAGACCGTCTCGGTCGAGCGGCCGACGGTCGGTCCCGCTCTGCACGTCGCCAGGAATTTGGACTGCGGGGCACGCAGCCGTTTGACCAGAGGCTGGTTTATAGGTCAACTCTGAATGGATTGTCGTCAAACTTGAATTGATGGGTGTGTTATGTTCATACTCCGCGCTGGGACGTTAGAACCTCGTTTAGCGGCGGGGTGGTTCGTTTTTTACCCCGTCTCACCGGACCTCTCACGGCTCGCTGATGGGCTAATCCTGATCAGCTCTTCGGTCGGAGCCGGGCTGAGCTCTCTCAGCTCCTGTGCTTTTTGTCGGCGTCCGCTGTGAGCTGCTAATGACGCCAATTGGGCGACGATCGGAAGCTGCGATAGAGGAAATTTGGAGCTGTGCAGTGTGCAGCTCCCTGCCCGCCGTAGGCTGACGCATAACGAGCGACCGACGATTCCGATGGGGTTAATTGAAGCGTGACAAAGCTGTTGGCGAGGTGCCTAATGGGGAGTTTATAATGAGGCCGGGGGCAAGGTTGCCTAAATGATGCAGTGATGTGCTGTGGTAGAATAAGTAATGTGTTGCGTTGATGTGGCGGTTTGGTATCTTGCCGTGTTACTGGACATTTTAGTTGATATGGGTACAACTAAAATGTCTAAGAATGATAGCAGAAAGGACTGCACATTTCTGTCGAAACCGCATAGAAGCATAAAGCAACCGTTATTCTTCAAGTTATTCCCAACCTGGAATGTTTCCCATATGTTTCCCCTTGATGTAAAGAGCAATAATAACACACACAACGAGGAGTAGATCCTGCAGAACATACATAGACGTCCAGTTAAACAGTAGGGGAAGTTGGGGGAACGCCGAAGACTTTTTTTCTGACGCCCGTAGCACGCAAGGTAGACAACATACGCTATTCTTGTTGGCGTCATTCGAGAGGCCAGTCTTTTGCCTTTCAAACATACCAGGCGCATTTGATGAATTCGCATACCGTTAAGCGCACAAACTAAAAATATCAAAGAAGTGACTTTTTCGGCGTTGCCCCGGACTGCGGGGAAAGCCGAAAATGGGAGAAATGATCTACGGGGAATGCCGACATTGACGTTTTGCTATTTTATCTCAAACTTTATCCAGAATTCATCAAAGCTGACGCACGTTTCAAGAGCTTGAGGACGCGGTGCACACTGGAAGTTCTAATTGTGTGATATAATAAGAAAATGCCAGGTAAATCATTCCTTATAGGTAACAGGCCGTTGTGTCGGTTGAAAGTGTAATTTGTGTGACTAAAAATACGCGTTATTATTCTACAGCAGTAAAGTCCACGTAGCGTGCTTTTAACACGTGCGTAATCGCACGTTTTCGGCATTACCCCAGCCAGCCATACTTTCATTTGCAGGCCCATAACTTTCCAACGTGCTGTATAAATTTCAAATAGGCAGCACACTTATGCAAAGACATGCTAAAGATTACTTGACCGAATTGGCCAGACAAACGGTAGCATAATGAGTAAAAAATGCAGCTTCAAAGGCGCATGTAGTACAAGGGAAACGTACATTGAAAACGCTCTTGGCGCCCTCACAGTCGAAGTATTCCGAATGACGACTCGTAACAAACATGCGATAATTGTAGTCACTTAAGCTTCAGAGCATCACTGACAGGTGGCATCCATGTCTTACGGTTTTCGAAATATCTCGAATTTCGGCTTTGCCCCAACTCCGGCATTGCCCCAACTTCCCCTAAACGTCAATTAT